AAGACATATCATATCCATATTCAATATCATAATAGTATTCTCCCTTTTTATTTCAAATTTAATGAAATTTATTCATTTTGAACATCTATATTACAAAATGAAACTTATTTTAAATAAATTAAAATAAATAAATCTTTCAATAATCTATGACAAAATTTCCACATGTTGAAGGCTGTGACTCAAATGAACTAAAACCATCTCGATAATCATTCTCAATACCCCATACAAAATTACCAATAATATTTAAAACAACAATTAAAAATTCAATATAAAAATTTATATGACCTACATTATATCTTTATAGTAATCTATAACTATAATTTGTGAATATAAGAACTGCTAAATTCTATAAAATCTTTTTTAATTCCTTACCCCTAAAGCATAAAAAAAAGAATTTTTCACCAATACCATTGTTAATCCAGTTACCATTCCTATAAACCCAGCAACAAATCCTCTTATAGACCAAAAAGAAATTCCTTACAGGTCTTAAATAACTTTCATGAGGTTAAAAGTAAACAGTATTTTTAAACAATTCTTTTTTTCTCATTAAAAAGTAAACGGAACCTGTTACACACAATTAAATTATCTTTTTCCTTTTTAAAATTTCAAAATTCAAGTAAATAATATCAGAAAGTTTACAACTGCCATTAATAATACCATATAAAAATTTCAAGGTTCACACAGACCTTTATCTCTATTTTAATTATTTATAAGGAAAGAAATATGGAGATATTGATATGGACAAGACCTCAACAATAATAGAATCTAATAATATATAATAATTATTATTACTTCATTTAATATAAAATTTCCCAAAGTTATTAAAATAAATACAAGAGGAAATCTTTCACATTGATCAGCATATAGCTTTTTATATATTTTAGCTTAAATTTCATTTTAATCATTTTGATTTTAAATCTACTACTATAAAATAGTCATAAGCGCTGATTCCTTTACTAAATTTCTGTTTTAGTCTTTTAGATCTTCTAATTTATTCTGTCTTCTAACATAATATATTAATAGGGAGATATTATAAAAAAAGGATTCAAAATGATAGTAATGGCAGTAACGGTAGAAAGTTTGCTAAATCACTTCCTAAACACAAACTTATTGGAATAGCTAAGGTATATATAATAGCTATATCATAATTAATAATTGGTCGTTCTGGTATACTATTTTCATAATCTGCAATAATAATTTTATAGAAATATGAACACCATATTTACTATTTGTGCACTTATCATTATACAGGCAGTAATATCTCCTGCAATAATTGAATCAAAATTCAAAATAGCTTATAAAAAGGGACGTTTTACTATACCTCCTATTATAAATAAAAACTTATAAATATATAACTTCTGGAGCTCTTAAACTAGCTATTCCTATTAATGAGACAATCAAAATATAAAATAAAATAGTCACAAAGTTTGGTTCTAAAACTTTTATACTACAATACCCTGTTGTCTCAATGAAATTTGATTTATCATTATCAGACATTTATTTTATTGATCACATTCATCTAATTATTATCCCAAGCCCTCATTGAATAAATTAAACTTTGGATACGAACAAGATAATGATCTACACATTGCAAATAAACAAATTATAGAATCAATTCAAACCTTATATTTACTTTACTTTAATTTAATTAAAATTAATGTTTTTTTAGCGGTATATTAAATATTATAATCAAAATTAATAAATATAAATATCAACGTTGTTCCTTTAAATATTTGATAAACTAATCTTAATCTTTAATATAAATGTTGACAATATATAATTATTTTGATAATTCATAATTTCTTTATAAATTGAATAAATATGTAATCTGAAATAAAAACATACTTAGTATTAGAATATCAAATTTTAAATTATAAAAAATTAAAAACTAGGAGAACTTCTCATTTTTTTAGAATAAACTATATTACTTATCAATATTTTAAAGACTAATTAATATAAATACCTTTAAGATCAATAATTTTTACCTTCCGTTAAATTTGTTTATTTTTTAATTTGCATGTTTAGATAAAAAGGTTTAGTACGTGTACAAAGATCTTTGAAAGTTGTTTTAGATCAGAAACATTTGAAAATTAGTATTAATAAATGCAGAAAGCAATCAAAAAAATTGTTTTTTACTTAAACTTAAATCTATTTTCTGTTTCAAAAATTTATAAAATTACTTGTACTAAACATACAAAGTTTATGATTGTCCCATAAGGAATTCTTCAATATCAAATCTTCAAAAGGAGGTGGCTAGTGTTGTTTGCTTTCTGCTCTTTTACGTATAATATTCCTATTAAGTAGATTTACTAATGCCTTTGGATTTGTCCAATACTCTCCTATTTTAACTCTTGCTGCTAATTACTATGGAGTTTAGGAAGAATAGATAGTTTGGTTTAGCAATTGTTACTATTTAACTTACTTTGCAGTTTGTCCTTTTACTATAAAACCTTTAGAAAAAAGGTTAGATTTATCGTTAATGTTTGCTTCTTTGATAACTATGTTAGGTAAAATGTTAAAAATCAGGATAGGTTAATGGATAATATATATATGTAAATAGCAGTATTCAATAGCATTGATTGGATTTATTATGATTGGTCTTGGTTAAACATTTACTTTAGCTGCACCAGCATGTAATAAGTCAATAATAAATATATTAGTTATATCTGACCGTTGGTTTCCTATTGAAGAACGTACTTTATCAACTAGTTTGGGTAGTTTCTTTAATTTAGTTGGATTAAATTTTTCAATTGTTTATGCATCAGTTTCATTTAAAAATACCTACGATTAATATGAAATTAAAAATAAGATTGATTAAATGAATCTTTTATTTTCTATTCTATCCACATGTTCATTGTTATTTTGTGTTTTGATGATAAGAAATAAACCTTAAAGTCCACCATCAAAATCAGCAGTATTGTTTTTATTAATAAAAAAGATATTTGATAAAATGGAAATCATCCCATCCTTTAAATCAGCATTTAGTAGTATAGAAGTAACAATGGATTTATTAACTTTCTCAATTTTTATAGGAGTATCATGGGCATATATGGTTGTGATAGCAATTCTTATGGTTCCATTTGATTACACAATTGAATAAATAGGTTATGTAAGTATAGTCTATGCAGCAACAGGAACAATTGGAGGAACATCTGCTAGCATTTATATGGATTATTAAGTTAAGAATCATTAATAACCTAACTATGATTATTTGATTAAAATTTTCCTTACAATTGGTGTATTAGGAATAATGATAAAAGCTCTAATTATAAATTATGTAAATGATATTGTTATAGTGATACTAACAGGAATAATAGGATTAGGTTTAAATTCTTTTCTTCCATTAGCTTTATAGTGTTATATTGAAAAATTATTTCCTTCATTTGAATTGGTTCTTACAACAATAATAATGCAAATGTCTAATGTATATTATGATTAATTATAAATTAAGCTGTTAGGATTTGTATTTGGTTATATTTTAATATTAGATGTATTCTTAGATATAGGATTGTATGTAATTTTGATAGGATTAAGTCCATTTTATATTTACTTGATTTTCTTTTACAAAACTAAATATAAAAGATTATAAATAGAGTAGGAATTTGAACCACCATCAATGTGATTTTTGAAAACTATTAATCATAGATTGATATTAATTAATATAATTATAAATTAATGGCTGAAGATTAAGATATATGGGAATGTTTGTTTGATTATTTAAATGAATCATAAGACAAAGTAAAAAATGTAGATTCTGAAATAATTTCATATTCTAAAGGAATACCTGATTTAGCCATTGATCCATTATCTATTGGAGAATAATTTCCTAGAGTAGAGATTGCAACAAGAATGCTTGATGGAATGTATATAGTTGATAATATAAATTAGAATTCCATCATCTTATAAAATGTAATCTTAGAAAATGGTAAAATTTCAAGAATTTAGAGATGAATTAATAGATGAGATTGATGAATTTTATTAAGAAGATTAACTTGAAGACATAAGACAAATATATCTCTAATCTAATTTAAAATAAAAGGATTATGAATTCACTAATATTTTACCATTTATGTAAGATGAATTAGCATTAAATCCAGGTATTGAAACAGTATTATATACAAATCATGATATGTTTAGTGGTGAAATAGAAAGTGTAAGTTCTGCTTATCTTCACACTGATTTAAAATCATTTAGTACTACAAATGTAATCAATAGAGGTTAATTAATAAAAGATAAAAGAGGTCCAGAAAAAGTAGAACTTGGTGATAAATTACTTTCATTAGAGAAATTAGAATAATAGATTAAAGTTTAAGCAGATACTATTTTCACTTAAAGTGAATAAATAAGATAAGAAAGAGATATTAGAAAATACGAAAGAATAGCTGAATATTAATAAAGAATTGAATATATAGATGATAAATTTATTAAAGATTAGATTCAATCAATATTACACACTTTCCATAGTTAAAGTGATCCTAAATTTAATACAATTTGGTCTCTCTTTATTGATGAATAAAAAGAGGAATTATAACCTATCTTATAATAAAAACCTAAATAAATTGAAACCTTAGATGATTTAGAATTCTAAGAAAATGCTATTGTTTCAGAATCTGATATTTAAATGCTTTCTACATTAACTGAACTTTAAAGATAAGCAAGAGAAACTGCTAAAATTAATAATATAGCTAATGATGCAGATGATGAAGAAATCAAAGAAGAATAGAATGCTATTGTAAAAGCATAACAAATTGTAGATTTTAATTAGATTGATAATGAACCTACTTTTATAGATTAAATGTATTATGCTGAAAAGGCAGAACCAGAAATATAAGAATAGGATCCTGAAATTAAAAAATAGATTTAAGATGCTTTATAAGTGAAATCAAAATTTAGAATTATTAAAGTTTAAGATATTATTAATAATTCTAATAAATTAATTGAAGATAGAGATTATAAATTTGCTGTTGAAGATGAAACAGATATGTCTAATTTTTATGATCAATTACCTAAAGCTAAAATGGCAAAATAATTTCCATTTGAATTAGATGATTTTTAAAAAAGATCAATATTACATCTTGAAAAAAAAGAATCAGTATTTGTTTGTGCTCATACATCTGCAGGTAAAACTGTAATTGCTGAATATGCTATTGCATTAGCATTTAAACATAATAGAAGAGCATTATATACATCACCTATTAAGGCTTTAAGTAATTAGAAATTTAGAGAATTTGATCAAAAATTTGGTAATACTGGAGTAGTTACAGGTGATGTTTCAATTAATCCTGGAGTATAATATTTATATAATATTAGGCACCTTGTTTGATTTTAACAACAGAAATATTAAGAAATATGTTATATAGAGGAGCAGAATTAATTCGTGATATAGAGTGGGTCATTTTTGATGAAGTACATTATGTTAATGATTAAGAAAGAGGGATGGTATGGGAAGAAACAATTATTATGTTACCTTAACATATAGGAATTATAATGTTATCTGCTACTGTTCCAAATTATATGGATTTTGCTAATTGGGTAGGTAGAACTAGAAAATAAAAGGTTTATGTTATGAAAACATTTACTAGACCTGTTCCTTTAGAACATCATATATTTCTATTTGATAAATTCCATTCAATTAAAGAAAGAGATGGAGACTTTTTAGCTTAAGAATATAATAGTTTAAAAGTAATTTATAGATATAATATATTTATAGAAAAAAATAAAAGAAATTGAAGATGAAAAAAAAGGATTAAAAGAAAGAATTAAGAAAAATATGGATGAAAAAAAAGAAGATGAACTTTATAAAAATACTAATAAATCTATGAGATAAAAATTAACTCAAAAATAGATTAAATCTAAATTTATATAAAATATATCAGCTGCAAATATGAAATAAAAAGATGAAAAAAGAGCTATGACATAATTAATTAGATTATGTGAAAAAAAAGATTTATTACCTTGTGTTATTTTTGTATTTTCAAGAAAAAAAATAAATGAATTAGCTGATTCTATTACTAAATAAAATAGTTTAAAATTAATTGATCATAAAACTGAAGCACGAATTATTGGATTTTTTGATTAAGCTTTACTTAAATTAAAATCATAAGATAGATAATCACCATAATTAATTAGATTAAGAGAATTATTAAGATTTGGAATAGCAATACATCATGGACATCTATTACCTATTGCTAAAGAAATAGTTGAAATTCTATTTTCAGAAGGACTTATTAAAGTATTATTTGCTACTGAAACATTTGCTATGGGAATTAATATGCCTACAAAAACTGTTATTTTTCATTCAGTTGAAAAGTTTGATGGATCAAATACTAAAAGAATGTTACATTCAAGTGAATACACTTAAATGAGTGGTAGAGCTGGAAGAAGAGGAATTGATGAAAAAGGAAATGTTATTATATATATTAAAGATGCATAATGTTTACCTGATGAATTAAGAATGAAGTAAATGGTTGATTCTAAAGGATTATAATTAGATAGTAAATTTAAAATAACTTATAGCATTATATTAAATTTATTAACTAGTAAAGATATTGATGCAACAGAAATGATGAAAAGATCATTTCATGAAAATTATAGATTTGTATAATTACCAAAATAGATGTTAAGTTTAGAAAGATTAAAAAAAGAATATATAAATACATCTTTAATATAATGTCCTTATCAAAAAGGATTAAGATCAGGAGTATCTAAATCATTAATTGAAGAATATGTTGAAATCTAAAAGAATTATAGATTTTCATAGATTGCATTTATTTAATAAGCAATTACTTAAAGTAAAACTAATATCACTTTCCCCAGATTTGTATTATTTTCTGATCATTTTGGTGAAATAAGTTTAGGAGTTGCACTTTCCCAAGATTATTTAAATGATGATATTTATGATTAAAATTATGTACTCAGACCATCAGAAATAAGTATTATTATATTAATTAATTAATAGCATAATTAAATTTTAGTATATTAACAATACATTCTGGAAATGAAGATGAAAAACAATAAAGAAGATTTAAGAAAATTTATTTATAATATTAAACTTCATTTCTAGAAAAAAAGAGAGAAAAATAAAGAAATAATTAACTTAAATCTAATAGAGAATTTTATTATATTATTAATAATGTTACAGAAGAAAGTATTATAGACTTTTTAGATGATTAAATAAAAGCATCTAATAAAACAAACTTTTTAAATATTGAAGTTTATTATGAAGATTATGCTACATAATTATTAGAAAAATAATAATAATTTTAAGATATGAAGTAAATGTTATAATATATATATGCACCTTAATAATAAAATAATAATAAAAAAAGATAAGCTGTTCTTACTAAATTTAAATATAAATTTAAATCTAATAAACAATAAAATGATGAAGAAAATATAGAATAATTCAAATTTAGAGAAGAATAATTAAATGAATTGATTAATTAATAATGTCAATTTTGTGATTTAAAAGATAAACATTTATAATAATTATAATTAAAAGAGAAATTAAAGAATGATATGCTTGATATCAAAAAAAAGATTTAAGGCAATGATACATAGAGTTAAAGTGATTTCAATAATAAATTAAATGCATTAAAATTATTAGGTTATGTAGATTAAGCAGGATTACCATTAATTAAAGCTAGAATTGCTAGAGAATTAATGGATTAGAGTTCCATTTATATATGTGAAGTACTTGTAGATAATATAATGGAAACTCTAAAACCTAGTGAAATAGCTGCTTTGATGTCAGCTTTTGTATGTTAAGATAGAAGAAAATTTGATGAAGAATTTGATGAAAGTAATATTGAAGTTATGCTTCATAAAAAATTTGATGAGATTTCTCTTGAATTAAGTGGAGCCATTATAGCTACTTATGTTTTGATCAAAAAGACTATTGAAGAAGAAAGTAAATTATTAATTTAAATATTTATAGTGAAAATGGATGCAGTAGATTCTAAAGACTCATAAGAACATATTAAAACTGTTCTTAATTTTAATTTAACTTAAGTGTAATTGTCAATCATTTATTATTAGTATTTATTTATGGGCTTAAGGTTAATCATTTGTAGATGTTTGCTTATAAACTGATATAGAAGAGGGTTCTATTGTTAGAACTATTTAGAGATTGGAAAACATGCTTAGAGGTGTAACTAATGCATTTAGAGTTATGGGAAATTTGAAAATGGTTGATAAGGTTGAAAAAGCTTGTTTATTAATTAAAAAAGATATAGTCTTTGCTGAAAGTCTTTATTTTGACTCAAATGCTAAAATTAAAGAGAAAAATTGAATTGAGACATATTAAAATAAATAGTATTTTTAATTCATCTTCATTTTGTCAAAGAAATGTTAATAAATGAATTGGATGACTGAACACCTTAACCTTTTACTTGATTCAGATTTATGGCTATAATCTTAATATAATCTTACAACTAGATTTTGTTGGTTTATGAAGTAAATAATTAAAGTCTTTTCCTGCAAATTTTTATTAAATATCTTTTCTCTCCTCATCTTTACGATTAGATGCTTTTATATAAATTATAAATACATTATTTAAGTAAAGCTGCTAATTAATTAGCATTAAATAATTGAATTTATGGTATGTATGGTTTATTATAATAACTTTTAGAACTGTTTAAAAGAAAAGCTGCTTATTATTAAGACAACGAAGTTTCATTTTATTTTATAGGAGATCCATTACTATTTGTTTGCTTTTATTTTTTTTTAATTTATTATTCTTAATTATTAATCATATCTTTGGTTATTTCAACTGTTGTTTTAGATCTTTTATTCTAGATTTAAATAGAATGATCATAACGATTTAATTATTTCTCTTAAATCAATAATTATAACAAATTTTAGAATTTTTTAATTTGACTTTCATAATTTTACAATTATTTTCTTATTTCCATGTTATCTTTCTAATAATTTTAATTATCAGTTTTCAATTTATTTATTTCCTATATTGTTAAATTATAATTATCTAAATATTAATAATATTTTACTTTGAATTTCTAGGATTTCATTAGCTTAACTAACTACTTTTAAATCCAGTTCTTATAGTTTCTCTTTTATTATTTTCAAATTCTCTTGAGTCTCCTCTTCTCCTGAACAGAATGGATTACCAATATTTGAATCTACTTATTATATTGATATTTTGTATTATTATGATTCAAGCTATTAAGATGTCAAAAATGATCCAAATTAACTCTTTTTATTTATTTAATTGGAAGACTCTAAGATATTATTAATGTTACATGAATTTTAGATGAGTTTATTTATTACAACAGACTTTTCATTATTATCTTCCTCTGTTAACATTGGATTTTATGAACATTCATATTCACAATCTGATTCTTCTTAACGTATCAATTATTCTTATTCAGAATTCGAGACATGACTATTACTTAAAGGATTGTTAATTTGAGAATCAGAATCGTTCATAGTAAAATATAAATAATTAATGAAACTAAAATATTATTTCTTGAAAATCATAATTAAAAAAAAATATTTTAATAATTGTGTTTACTTTGACACTTTTAAGTAATATATATATTATATTATACAATTAAAGAAATCTCAAAACAAAGATTTAATAATTATTATTTATTGCAAATATAATAACATAAGATTGATCTATATTGTAAATTAGATTAAAATATGTGTTAAATAAAAATCATTTAAATAAAAATTCTTTTTAATTGAATTAATTTTATAATAACTTTTGAGTATCTTTGATTTAGATATTAATGAAGATACTCTATCATTTTTATTAATTTGAAATACGTTAATGTTGGCCTTGAGATTGTAAAACTTATCGATCTTATTATTATTAATATATTTTATAATAAAAGCTCAAATTCTTCCTTTTTATTTTAAAAGAGGCAACTTAGGCTAGCTTTCAGATTTATGCTTTAATTTATAGATTGTTGAATTTGGTAAAGGTATTTCTTTATCTACAGTATATCCTTATTTAGGACTTTATAATTTTGAATCAAATTCATTTAAAGCTTTGTGTAACTTACTAGCTTTAAGATTTTTAGGCTTTTTCATATCATCAACTAAATGATAAGTCAAATAATACAATTCTTATAAGCATTAATCCTATCAAATTAGGATTTTAACTTCTTAGGACTCATCTTTTCTTTTTCTTTAGTATGTTTTTTTGACTATTTCTTGCTTTCATATATACTCTTTGCATTAGCAGATTCAGCTGAGGATGAACGATAAGACTTTTTGATTTCTTCATCTTCCATCATCCATTTAAATTGTTATTCATTAGAAATTTTGATATTTCTATCTCCTTCATGATTAATGGCATCAAATATTTTCTATTCATATGTGTCCATATCTTCTACAACTCCATCTTCTTCATCTTCATACTACTTTTTATTTTTTTATTATAAACCATCCACCATTGTTTGATAATCCCTCTTACTCATTCTATCAGGAATCTTATATTCACCTCCTTCCTTTACATATCCATTGTCAAAAATAATGTTAGTACCTTATTTAGTCTAGTATAATTATTTATTAAACTTTCATAGCTTCAATTAAAGGAGGTTATTTTGGATATTCAACAGCTGCTGCCTTTTCTAATTTTCTATTTTCATCTTCTCCTTTGGCAAATGCTTCCTTTACAGGTTTAATTTCAGGTTATGAATTCACTTCCCTCATGACTTTTTATGGTAAATTTGTTTTAGTTTCTGGTTAAAGTATTTCATTTATTTATAAATCTATAGGTCTATTATATTATAGAGAATTGTACTTTGTTGTAAGAAACACCACTTAACCATCATAATCATATGTGTATTACTTATTTTTCAATTATTTCAATTGTTCTTTCTTTTTTTCCTCTTATTCAATTTATTCTTCTTTTATTTTACGCATTCTTTCATTTTCTTTATATTTGTCTAATTCTTAATATTCTCTCTATTCTCTGAGTCTTTCGATAATAGCATCTGGAGTTGGAGGCTTTTTAGTGTCTGGCATCTTTATTAAATTAGGTTTATATTCCTCTGGTATAGTAGATTAAATAGTTGTCATCTATTGTGAAGACCCACCCATTTTATTTATAAGTTTCATTTTGCTTACAGAATTTTAAAACTTCACTATTGAATTTCTAGAAAATCTGGATGAAGATTAACTTCTTTAGGATCTAGCATCATCAATTGTTTCTTATCCTGTTGATGGTTGTTAAACTTTCACTATTTTAACTCCTTTGGCAGTCATATTATCAATTGTTTTAAAATGCTACAACATTTTATATAATTAAGTACAGGTTCATCCTCATCTATCCATTTATTCAAAATAGCATATTTAGATTCACCATGATCAAATGGCTTTTATTGTTATTTATTTTACATACTAAGAATTCCTATTATACAACTCCACATTGCCAATTCGCTATCACTTCACAATTATATCCAGGTTCTTTGTCACATAAGTAATGTTCATAAAGATTTGATGCACATTTTATTATTAAATAATCAACAGTTGGATTTACAATCTCTACAGTCTCAAAATTTTGCATTAAATTGTTAAAGTATTAAATATATTTATTATAAATTATAATACATTTATCATATATAGATTTCTTATTATTATATTCTAACCCCTTTTAGTTTAATTATAGTATTCTCTATTTATAAAAATAAGAATTCTAATTTTCATTTATTGTAATAATTATTATAATGGCTTTATTTATTAAATTTTCATATGATATATTCAATAATCAATATTAATTTATCCAATCTTAAATGTTTCAATTAATCAATCCTAATTATTTTTTAATTTAATTTCTATTAAAAAAAATAGAATTTGATTGATATAATTGAATTAAGATAGAGGAAATATGTTAATTTAAAATATAAATATAAAATTAAACAATTATTTAATTCATATTAAAATTTTCATATACTATTAGAATTTAATTAAAATATCTTATCATTTAGAATTTTCTATTCTTAAGAATTATTTATTAGCAATATAATGAAAATAACTAATTTCTATTAATATAAGCTTTTCTTTACTGGGATTTATCAAATTTGAATAATTAATTTTATTAAAGATTGTTATTCTAATTAAGTGAGTTTTCAATTATTGTTTTTTTATTTTACTTTTATATTAAGACATTTCAAATAATTTAGTAATAGACATCAATTTATAAAAATGAAATATAATATAAATATAAATATAAATTATTTTTAGAAATATATATTATTAATCAGCAGTGAATCAATAAGAGATTTTAGGAGATTATTATATTAAATTCTCCTAAGATTAGTAATATAATTGATTATATTAAGGTTTAAGTTTAGTTACTTAAATTTCATTATTTAATCAATAATAATCTAAGTATATAAAGATTTAGTAGCAACTAAATATTTGATTAATTTTATTTCAAATCTCTAATAGATATTGGAATGTCAGTATCGTAAGAACAAAAGATTTCATCAACCTCCACTCTTAAGGAAGAATAAATTCCCTAAAAATAGTAGTGCCAAATATCAAATTTACTAAGAAGAAAAGATTTTAAATCAGTTGTAAGAATTTTACAAACTGATAAAAAGTCAAGGTTAGGGCATTTTCCTTTACTTTAGAACAAATTATCAAAAGCTGAAATATGAAAACTAACTATATCATGTTGGTTAAAATCTATGCATAAGAGGAGACAATAGATCTATATATGTGGCTAAGCTCATTAAGATTGTGAAACTACATGATGATTAAGATAATTGTTTACCTTTTATTAAGGTATAGTGGTTTTGTAGAAAAACTGAGTTGTTGGGCTTATCTAAGGATTATTTAGATTGTATTTCAGATAATGAAGTTTTTAAAACTAATGAATTTGACTATATAGAAATTGAAAGCATAGTTGGATTAGCTATTATTTTAAGTTATGAAGAATATGATTAAATAGAAGAGTTAAATGATAATGTATACTTTATGAGAGCTACATATATAAATGATAAGTTATAGCCACCTTTTGATTAATGGAATAAGGTTTGTATTTGTAAAAAGCCTCCTAATCCAGATTTAAAGTAACTATATATTATTATAATAGGTATATTTTTTGTGAGATGTGCTAAAAATGGTTTCATTTGAAATGTGTAGGATTAAGTTATGATCAAGCAGACAGAATAAATAAATACATATGTCCTGAATGTAAGAACTGAATTTAGATAATATTTATATATATATAGACATATTCAATTTGCTAATCTTTTAAATAATAATATTGAATATCTTAATTTATTTTCTAAAGTTTTATAATTATAATGAGGTTTTATGTCTTCCCTTTAATATTCTTAGTAATAATCTTTGCAAGTATAATAATATAAGTTTAATAAAATTTCAATAACAATAAACAGTAAGATTGCCTGAAATGCTCTGTAAGGGAATTAATCTTTTTCCTCTTAATAATCAAATTTGCTTTTAAAAAGAAACTTAATATATTAAAATAAATTGAATTTATCAATCTCAATCAAAACTTAATTATCATCTGGCCATCTTATCAAATTGAGTAAATACTCCTTTCTTAAAATTAAAGAATTTCAATAATTTAATCAAAATACTTTTTAGAAATGAGGCTCCTCTAATATTGATTAATATTTTGAATCAATTCTTTTTAATTTATTTATAGATTTATGATACTAATAAGAATTCTATAAATTTTATCCATAAATATCTATTTTTAATTACTTTTTTTGTAAAATTCTAAAGTACTTTTTTTAACATAAATATATTATATAAAGTAATAATATAAGTAATTGAAATAATCATAAAAATAAAATTCTTTGGAAATTCTTTTTAATTTTATATAATAGTTTCCCTCAATCCAATAATTAATGTATGTAACTATATTTTTAAGTAGTTTTTTAAACAATTATATTCTTAATCTAAAAATAGAAGAAGTAACTTAAATTGTTTAGTCAATTGTTTAAGAAATAAATATTATATTAAACTTAAGTGTTGAAACCTTTATTATCTATTTGATAAGATGATATAAGTAATTCTGAGAATGAATAATTAAAAATTTCTTAATATTAAAACAATTTAATAACCATATAAAGAGATATAAAATAGAAATTGTTCATTATCATAGATTAATCTATTTCCATCTTAAATTTTGTTCAAATGAGAAAATATTATATATGATTTCAAAACTTGAAAACAAAAACAAAAAATGATTAAAATATCAATACTTTTGGCATCATTCATCCATTTAGTTCATCAAATCTCTTCTACCCTGTAATTTTGCATACTTCAATTAACAGATTTGCTTTTATAATTAATATCTTAGTCTACTTTATCATTTATACTCCATTTATTATTATTGTATTTTTTGAAAAACTTCAATACAATTTCTGGGGAAATGAAATTGACAAATGCATAACCTAGATTTCCTTCATTCTTATCTAATTAATTAATAATTACATTATTATCAGATGGAAGGTAAAGAAAATCAAATTAAGACTTGAAGTCTTTATTTAATAGATTTCTTAAATCACTTGGTCTCATATATTTAGGTATATTTTTTAACATTAAAGTGGTTCTGTCATCATAAAGAATCTCCACTAATAAATTAATATTTACATTCTCTTCTTAAATGTCTAGGTTGTAGTAAAGCGTATTCATTTTTTAATACAATAGGTTTTGATCACAATCAAATAAAAACTTCATATCAATAAGTTCCTAAATAAGTAATTTTTAGTTATAGAGACTTCCTTCATCAGGCATAAGTAGTTTAAAGTCTCATGATAAGAATGTGATACCAAATGCACATAAAGAAGCTTCGAACTTCTCATCTTAACTTAGCAATGGCCTTGGTATTTATAATTTCGGCATATATTTTGATTCAAAGGAGGAATCTTTTGAACTTCCAGGTGAAGCTGTTGTATTTGTTTAAGATGATCTTCCTTTTTATGGTGTTGTGCTGAATGCAATGTCTTATATATCACAAATCATTATTAAATATAAATAAATACAGAGGACATACTTTTATTATTTAGTGCAACTATTGAATAGTAATGTTTACTATCCAAATTGTTTTTGCAATTCCAAAAATATCTAACTAAAATAATCATTTTAAAGAGACAATAAATATTGATATAAGGTGGATAATATAGATTATTATAAGTAGAAAGTAATCTAATTTTTTAAGCTTTGAGAACTTTCATAACTAATTTAGTAATTGTAATAAATAATTTGATTTATTAGGGATAACATCTTGATTAGGAGGAAAAAAGAGTTATTTCTAAAGACTTAGCTGTTAGGAACTTTCTGAAAAAATTGATTTCTTATTTATCAATTGTTGTATTATCATTAAATAAGTTATTTGATTTGCTCTTAAAATAGAGAGTTTTTGTGTTTTTAAAAACTATATTTTGATATTAATATCTAAAACTAGAATTTATAATCATTGAAATTAGAGTAGATATAATAATTTAAGATTATAAATGAATATATTAGAATATATTGAAATAGTCAAGCTTGTATTTTCAATATCTATAATTTTCATGTACAAGGAAAGCATTAGTTTATTTAAAAAAAATATTTTATTATAAAAGTATATGGATTAGAATTTACAGATTTCTTTATTTAGTTTTTTATCTTTTATAGAATATTAATTAAATTAAGTCTAAATATGTAAGCTATGTTTTGAAGGAAGTTTCGATAATTGTTCAATATTTGAAATTTCTTCTAAATTAATATATTTAACCATTTGGAATTCTTTCTAACAAGTATAATACTTTAAGAATGCTTTATTATTCATAATAATGATAATAATATTAATTTAAATCCTCTATTTTTCAAATATATTGAATAAATAGTTAAGGTTATACTATAATAATATAAGAATGTTAAAAAAAGAAGTAAAATTAAATTATATTTTTTGTATTTTTACAACAACTTGATCATCATTTAAAATGTTCTTTAATTCTTGAGGAAAGTTCATCGCAGGTTTTCTTAGCATCACCCAATAACATATTATTATTTGGTTTATAGAATACTGGATTATCAATGGCAGCATATCCAACACCCATTGATCTTTTCATAACAATTGATTATTTAGCAGCCCAAACTCTCAAAACGGGCATTCCTAAAAAATTTAATTGAATAATATACCTGCAATTGGTGAATTTGGATTCTCTTCAGCAGCTGAATTTACAGTGTCATTAGCTCCAATAACAACAGCTAAATCAGTATCAGGGAAATCATCATTAATTTCATCCATTTCAAATACTATATCATAAGGAATACCAGCTTCAGCTAATAAGACATTTAATTAACCAGGCATTCTACCAGCAACTGGATGGATACCAAATCTAACTTTAATTCCTTAATCAATAAGTGTCTTGCACATTTCAGCAACTGGATATTATGCTTTAGCAACTGCTAAACCATATCCAGGAACAATGATAATAGATTTGCTACCAACCATCATTTCAACAGCTTATTCAACATTGATTTCAGTGTGAGTACCTTCAACTTTAGTAGATTAAATAGCCGCTGGATTAACATCAAATCCACCAAAAATAACACTTGTTAAATTTCTATTCATGGCCTTACACATAATATAAGATAGAATAGCACCTGATGATCCAACCAATGCTCCAACAATAGTTAATAATGGATTATCTAACATAAAACCTTCAGCACATAATGCCCATCCTGAATATGAATTTAAAACTGTAATTACAACTGGCATATCAGCACCACCAATAGCATTTGTTAATGTTACTCCCAAGACTTTGCTAGCAGCTGTTGCTGTTAATAAGGCTGTCATTCCAACAGCAAAACTACCTGTTTAATTATATATTAATAAAGATGCAACAGATAAGGCTGCCAATGCAATATTAACTTAATTATGATAAGGAATAACAGTTGGATTTGAAGGCAAAAGATTTTATAATTTAGCAAAGGCAATAAGTGATCCAGTAAATGTA